AGCCCCGGCGAGAAGGGAGGCTCTTCCAGCCGGGTGCCGTCCTGCTCGGTGCGCCGAGGGGACGCGGCTGGGCCTCGTCGTTGTGCTCCAAGTCACGGAAGGGCCCGGCCCCGGGCCCCTCCGGCGCACGGGCGCGGAGCCCGGCTCTGTGCGGCGGAGGGGGGTGTCGGGTCCCTCCCTCGGCCGGGGCAGTGCGCCTGACGGAGCTGCTGGCATAGCCTGTTGCTTCACTGCAGGTACCCGCAAAATGGCTAAGCTAACCGCTCAGCAGGCAGCAAGCCTTGAGATAAGATGAGAGTGCTTAATACAAGCTATTACTGCCGTGTAACTTATGATCAGGGTTAACTACCAAAACGGGAAGCGTTGAACAAACATGACACACCGATGGATTTACGTAAATGATAGTAACATCACGACCCAGTAGTGTTTTCCCATGTGCACGCGTTTCACATTCAGACATTTGCTCACAGCAAGTCGTGGGGAGCGTCTGCTTAAAAGGAAGCATAGGGTTTTTTGATAGTAATGTTCCTGAAAATTATTCAATTAAAGCCTGTTAAAACTGATGTTAAAATGAAATAAGAACCTCTACAACTAATTAGAGAAATTTAATTCATGTAAAGCTAGAAATGAGGTTTTCTGTTCTTCAGCTGATTTTCTAGCTTGGAGGTGCACAAGTGTTGCTGGACAGTGAAGACTACACTCTGTTTTACAGAAATGGAGTATCTGGGGATTTGGGGGGGCCTGGGCTAAGTTAGAGGCATTTTTAATCTCAGACTGCAAAATTCTGAGCCTCAGTGGGACTGATTAATTCCATTTGTCCCAAGGATTGTCTCCAAGCTTGGGATACGTTTACTAATTTTATATACAAATACCATGTTGCATTACTAAGTCTCTCTTACTAGGAAAGTAAAAAAGAAAACTGTTAACATAGAGGCATGAAAATAATGGAAAAAGATCTAGAAATAACCTGAACTAGACAATGTCTCAAACCTACTTCTGTCCTATACACGAACTTAACTCTGTAACTCAACTTGCTTTGCTGAGGTTATTTCTACTTAACACAGATGTAAATGAAAGATCAAAGGCCTCTTTATGCACAATGCCATATTTTTCTGGCCTCATTCCCATTTTTATCAAGAAAATATTTCAGCTATCCTCGGTGCCTTACGGATAAGTAGTTTCCATGGTAATTAAGGTTTGGGGGATTTAGTTAAGAATATGTTAACCAAGGACTTTCTATAACTTTATCTCACCAGCTGATTCAAATATCAGTGATTGCAAGGGTCTCTCTAAAAGTCATTAGCAGAGATTTTCGCCACTGCTGTTAGCAAAGCTAATAGGGAATTCTGAGTTATTTGTAGTTTCAGTTTGCAATGGTGTTTCTGTTGGAATCGTTGCAAACTGATGTGCAGCATAATTGTGTGAAGCTCACTGAGTGCTTATGTGTGGAAAAAACCACATTATCTTTCTTCCTCCCAGCAAGAGGGAAGACAACCTCCTAATATTACTCAAAGGCTTTTCTTCCAAGGACTCACAGGAACAAAATAATGATACAAAATAATACAAGAACTTCCTAGGGCAGGGGAGGGGCAATAAAAAGACACCAGCAACACTTTGTGGACTTGGTAAAAATAAGATCACTAACAAGGTACAATTATAACTTCAAGAGAAGGCCCAACTAATAAATGCACGCACGGTATTCGTTTAATTTCTTTATAGAGATGGTCCCAGGATCTGTCATTTATTTTAGCTATGAACTCTGTTCTGTGTAAATAACGTTTTAACCAGGATACTCTTTTTTTTACAACTAATGTAGCATTGCCAGGAAACCATCTTTTGGAAGAAGCTGCTTGGTTAAAACAAACAAAGAAACAAACAACCCAAACAGAAAGCACCAGTAGCTTTCATTTGTGTAAACCAACAAATAAGTTCTCCGGTGGAGAGTGATGAATAAAGACATTTATTCCATGTCAGCACTAAGGAATTTTGGAGGAAACCTTTCTGTAAATTACCACTGACCCAGCTGTAGTAGCGGAAGCATCATTTTGAGTTGTATCGATAGAGCACTGGGTTTTCTTGCTGATCTGTCATTTTAAACAATTGAAAAATATCTTGGGATTAAGTTGAAAGGACAAAAATTCAGCTGCAGAAAGGAAATTAAGTTAGAAAATATTTACAGAATGAGATGAGAAAAGAGGGTAAGGTGCCTCTGGATTCAAGAATTTATTAGAAAGAGAACGTTTTGGGTTTTTTTTAAGTAATAACCAATGTTTTTCTGTTTTCCTGTTTTGTTTTTCTTAATTTCCTTACCTGAAGGTAGACAGGACATACTACTTGTCTTCAAGATTCATTATACTGAACAAAATGCCCCAGAAAATTCAGTGCTCCAAACCAAACAAACCATTGTCTGTGTTGGAAGAGAGATATGGCCCACAGGCTTCCTACAGAATACTGTTTTTCACTTGAAAAAGAAAACAAAAGACTGTTGTATATGTTTTTAAAATGGATTCCTTTTGACTGTAGTTACATTGCCTTGTTAATATGGCAAAGCAATTCCCCTTGGAATCAGTGAGCCAGAATTCTTTGTCCTTGTTAAAACAGATAACCACCAATTGGTTACAGTAATTTGAAGGTCACAAGATGCATGAGCACAGTCTCTGTAAAGTAACGTCTCAGTTCTAAGGATTCTTGGTGTGTTAGTTGAGTAGAGGACAAGGGGGAAGTGACTGATTTTCCTCTAGGACGAAATCCCCCAGGTTATACAGTTGGAAACAGTATTGTCATGGATCTAAAACTGGTGAGGAGAAGGGAAATACAAGGAACATGGGGTCACAAGAAAACATGAGTAAGAAGTGAGGTGGCTCCAGGTTCCCTCAAGGGCGAGCTTTGTTGAGGGCCACACTTATGGCCCTCAAAACCTTCTGCAGGATCCCTAGGCCCTCTGAACTTTCTGTTGGTGGTGAAAAATATATCTGAACTGTACAAGTTAGTGCTACATACTGGTAGTCAAGCTAAGTCAAAGAGGCTCATATATTTAAACAGCACAAGGCAACGTGGAGCAGAAATATGAGTTGGGGCCTTGCAGTACGGTTGCATGCTGTTGCAGCAGGCGTCCCTTGTTCAGCTGCCCAAGGGGGTAACTGGCAGGAGCAGACGGCTGAACTAAGACAAGTGTACTCTTCATATTCTTCCATTCAAAGCTAGTTCTCCCATCCCTTCATGGTGCTGTGTCGATAATGAAGTTGTACCCCAAAAGTCTGTTTTTTGTTACGCCTGTAAGCACCTCAGCCTTGAGACTGCAGAGCAGTTAGTACAGCTTTGATCACGTCTGAGCCTTGCCAGCCCTTCAAAATAGACGTTCTTTGCACTCTTGCTTGCAGCCTCTCTCTGGCAGGCATTCTCAGGGACTGTCTAGCAGCGCTGGATGTGTAGCAAAGTTAGTGCTAGTAGCTTTCCTGAACTGGTAGTTCAAAAGTTAAAGTATTCACCCGTGATACAGAAGACAGGACTTTCCAGCCGCTGGAGGCTGAGAATAACTTCTTTCCTTTCAATGGAACAATCAAACCACAAGCCTGCAGGTTTTTTAGAGGTGAGAACTTTCTTTGTTCTTCCAACTGAAGCTATTGTTGCATGCAGAATAAGATACAGAAAATTCTGGACCAAATAGCTAGTGGCGGGGGCACTCTCTTCCTGAAAGGAAGGAATATTGGATTCCTGGCCAGGTCTCAATATTCTCCCTGTAGTTTACTTTAAAGAGTTACACAGCAAAGCAGAAACAAGCTGTAGAGAATGGATTGTAACCAGGTTCAGTCTCCAGGTGTGTGCCCTCATGACTGGGCTAAAGAGTCTGGTTCCTTTTACGCTCCTGGCCTGATGCTCTGTTGAGCTTTTTGCACATTGAGGAAAGGGTAATGTGGTCTCACATGATTCACATTATTATTCTCACAACGTGGAATATTCAGAGAGTGGTGGGAGATGCTCCGTGTGGCCGGGGAATCTGTGTTTGAGCCCACACCTCCCTAACTGAGGAAGGAGTTGAACATGTGCCCACCACAGTATGCTGTCCTATGAAAGATGGACATCTATACCATCCCTATTTGAGAGAAAGCCTGCATTGTATTTTGTAGAGAGCCAAGGCTTGTGATGCTTGTTACGTGTTATTGCATCAAGCCATCTGGGATCTCTGCTGTAGAAAAGCCTCTTGTTCATCCAGCTAGGCGTAAGCAGGAGACAAATGCTAAACTGCTTAGCTCTTTCCAGACTGTTCCCAGACTTGGGCATACCCAGAGCTGTTTCTCCAGGGGAGCATTACGTACAGGAGCAAAGTAAAATTACAAGGTACCTATGCAGGAACTGTGTGGGTAGTTTTCAAGATCATCTGTTTGGGACTTACAGGCTTGCATTCCTTAATGGATCTTGTTTACAGTCTTTAATTTCAGTATTTTTAGTCACCTAGGGCCATCTCTCTAATGGATAAAATGGGAGTCATGCTCAGTAAGGTTGGGTATTATTAGCATTTCAGGATGATCTTACTATGTGTTCCCAATGCCTGTCCTCATCCCATAACTCAACACAAAAAATAATTATTTTCATATGCTTTTTTGGGTTGCTCTCCTGTACAGTATCTGAGCTGTGTACAAACATTAAGGTGCTTATTGGAAAGAAGGTATTATGTCCATTATACACATGGGAAAATTAAAGAAGTTTGTCAAAACAAAGTGTATCATATGTATCTATGAATTTAGAATGCCCCATGTAAGGCGCCCAAAGCTGGATATTTTGAGAATATTTAGCAACATACGTTCAAACTACAACTACCTTCAATTAGATTCACAATTAACTTCACTATGCTCAGGATCATTCTAGATATCAGATTCCAGATATCTCAAGTTCAGCACCCAGCAAATGACGAATGCAGACTTGGTGTCTGTCCCTAAAATTAAATTAAAGTTTGTTATACTACAGGTGAATAAGGAGACCAAATGAAATTTTCTCAGTCAGTTTTCATTCTGTAATGCCCTCGCTTTTGAGAGTTTCTTTACCATCTTTGTGCTTTTTATAGCTTTTGTGTAAAAATTCCTAGGTTTAAGAAAGCAAACAATAGTAAAAAAACCAAAGGTCCCTTTAAATAGCAGCTTTATCTTCCAGAGTTTTGACAGCCCTGCCTCCAATGGGTGTCACACCAGAACTTGCTGAAAGTGCACTCTCTTACCTCGTCTAGGTCATTAATAAGGACATTAAGAGTTTTGGTCCCTGTATGGGTCCCTGAGGAACACCACTAGTAACCAGCCACCGTTTTGGTGGACTTTGCACTGCTGATCACCCGTTGTACTCCACAGCCCAGCTGATTATCCGTCCACCTTGTGGTACATTTTTCCACTCCTTATTTCACCAGTTTGACTGTAAGGGTACTGTGGGAGACCATGTTGAAGGTCTCCCTAAAGCAAAGGTAAACAGCACCCACTGCTCCTCTTCCTCCTCTGCTGAGCCCAATTTCCCCTCAAAGGTTTGCCATTGGTAAAGCCACATGACACCAGCTGTTCTCCGTCACCTTTGTGTCCCTCAGGTGCTTGGAGACGTCTTCCAGGAGTATTTGCGCCACAGTCATGCTGGGGACTGAGGTGAGGCTGACAGACCTGTAGTTCCCTGGCTCTTCCATCCCGCCCTTCTTGAAGTTGCACCAGTTCAGCTTAGTGTAACCCTCTTGCTATACCGTGCGAAGAGCAGTGATTGCTGGTGCATTTAAATGGTCTGTGTCTAACATCTCAGAATGTGTATGTATGTGCATGTGAGAAAGAAAAAGAAGTGAAGCATTTGGAAGCCTGAGAGAGCAAAACTTAAATAATCTAAGGAAAAATGACGCAAAGGAGAGCATTTAAAAAAGGAAGGTATATTATGTGGTATTCTTGCAAAAAAACCTTGCAAATGTATTATTTAAAAAATTATGCAAATTCCATAGTCTGCTACATGTGAATGTCCAGTTTTAAAGCTTATTAATGAGTTTAAAAAAATTACTTTGCAGCTGCTTTGTGTATGGATGTCAACAATCTTAAACATCTAGTTACAACCAACATTACAATAATTCCTTCCCACAGGACATATCAAGATAACATAGCTGCCCATTATCTTACTCTGGGCAGATCAGCCTGATGAATATTGGGCATTTGATTTCCTACAAGTCTGTCAGCACTTCTGGTTAGTTAGCAGATTAAAACTACTAGATAATGCATTAACTGCATGTAAGCCAAAAAAAAAAACAAACCAAAAAAAAAGATAAAGGAGTTTGCTGGAGCTTCGAATGCCTAGTGCAGAAAACTGGAATACTTCCCCAAACAGAAAGTCTATAAACAAGAAAATTGTCATTTGATACATTTAGACTTTTTGAGAAGTTTATCCAATAGCTACCCATGGAAAAGTACTGAAGAAGCATCTACTGTTCCCAGCCTGGTATTTTGCTGAATTCATTTTGCTGCTTCTGGAGATCACCATCCTTTTCTAAAGAATTGTCCTGTAAAAGGGAAGGTAGTCAATGGCAACATTTCATCAACGTTGTGGGCACGTAAAGAGACTTGTGTTTCTTGGGGGGGTGTGGTCTTTTTTGTGGGAAGTAATGCTAGTATCTTTCTGCTAGCGGCAATTACACATAGCTTGGGCTACCTTAATAAAACATTCCTTCACGTACTGAAGAAGAAAAAGTTTATCCAGCATTACAGTATGACTCATTTCTAGCCAGCTGTTTTTCAGAATATGCTACCTTGTGTTTTCATTTTATTTATTGACTTCCTGTTATTTTATATTAAGGTGTATTTGTGCAGTAGTGGAATAATTTCTCTGTAATAAATAGAACTTGATATAGCAAATAATTTTGCTTCTTTTTCTGCCTGCAGGTTGCCCACAGATGTCTAAGAATTCTCTCCTTGTTGAAAATTATTGCGATATAATTTGTAGGTGTTACTATAGAAATAAGGTAACTATTTTGTTACAGAGTAAAATACCTCAAGTGAAACTGTTGTTCCCCTTGCAGATCACTCTTAACTCCATGGTATCAACACACGTTATCAACAATAAAGCGAAGTGTGTTGCTTAAATATTCTTCTATTTTAATACATTTCAGTGACCCGCTATATTACACTTTAGCTTTTAGTAAATACTTTAAATTTTAAATTGGGAAAAAATAGTCAGGACCGTTTTCTACTTGGCATTATTAATAAGTTAGAAGTATTTATAAATAGCCAGTAACACATACTAGTCAGTTTACAAATTTGTAAGGTAATATTTGCATAAGAAACAGAAGTTGTGAAGTGATACATGATAAGGATTTATTCCACAGTGTTACCAGAATCTTTAGTAAGATGAGCTAACTTGAACAGTGTGCATATTAATATCGTTAACTGCAGGCTAATATTTCTAGGAAAGAAAAATGTAGATCAGTTATCTGATGGAGGACTGCATTATGAAGAGTGGCGATACAGAAAAGCAATTAAGAGCACACAGAAATGCTATCTCTGTGGATAAATGTGGGGAGCACACTGTAGCAATAGGGATTTCGTTGGTGGAGCAGTATGTCTTGGCCTGATATTGACACAAAAACTGACAAACTGGTTAAACAGAACTACGTGATTGATTTGGGATCTAGAAACCCTTCTTGCAGAAGAAACTTGAAAAACTTAATCTCTTTAGCCCATCGATGAATCACATAGGAGCTAACTCACCTGGAATTACATAAGAGAATAATTGTAATCATAGAAATCTTCAGTTTAGCAGACAAATCTTTTAAAAGATGTACTGTTTGAAAGCTGAGCCAAGAGACATGTTTTTCATTAATAAAACAAAACCAAAACAAACAAACAAAACCCTTAGACTAACTAAGCCTTGGAAAAAATGTAGATAGATAGGCCTGTGAAGTATTCCTTGTCACCTGAAATCTTTAAATCAAGAAAGTGGATTTTTTCCAAAGGAAGTGTTCTAGCTCCACCAGAAATTATGTAGACATCACGTGATCTAATTGTCACCTGTACTGTGCAAAAGGTCAGGCTGGAGAATCACAGTGCTTTCTCCTGACCTGAAAACGTGTGATGCTATGAAACATCAAAATGGAGCAAAAAAAACCCCTTTAAAATGTTTTATAAGAATTTTAGAATATCTGCCGTAATATTCAGATAGTACCTGGTTAGAGACTGCAGTGAATGGATTTTTAAATAATTTAAGTTAACAGGCATTTTTAGCTACATTACAGGGTTTTTTTACTGTTTGCATTGCTAAATTTTGATGAATAGTCACTAGAATTGCAGTATCTCTTTTATTTTATTTACGGCTACCCATCCCATTTCCTCTGATAAGATTCTGTTTCCTTTCTTTATTGGTTTATCAAATCTTTTAAGACTGCTATGTCCATGCTGGCTGTTTGCCTCAGGATAACTTTTTGGAAAGCAGGTTTCTATATTTGGTAGTGGTCATAAACAACATCAAAAGCAAAATGACTAAAGCTAATAAGACCAAATGCTAATACAAGAAGTAGTTCTAAAATATTAGACATATTGGTGGGATAATTTGGAGATTTATCAGGACATTTCCTTCTCTTTTACATTATAAACTCTCAGTGGCAGCACTTTTTTTCTTATGTGTTGGTAAAACATGAACATGCTTTCGGACATTTATAAGTGCTAATCACAAAATAACAAAGGTAATGAACATTGTAAGACATTTAGCTGGCAACATGTAATAATCCCAGTGTCAGATAAACTCTTTTTTCCAGTATGCATATGTAGCTCTTATTAATGAAACTCAAGCTGCACTTAATTACTAGTAACAGAAAATCACTGGCGTTTACCTCCCACGTACAGAGCCACACCTTGCCCTCCAGGAAATCCAGAGAGCTTCCCAAGAACTATCCCTAGCTCTGGCCTAGATTCCAGCCTCTTTTATACCATTTTACAGTAGAAGCTTGTCAGAGCCAATCCTGCCTGGTGCACAGGGTTTGACTGAACGAAGAAATGAAAGTCATCATGAAATCTAGTCTTAAGTTAGACCTTTTATTACAGGCACTCTTTTGCTTGGTCTACATGGTTCAGCAAGTTTGGTGCTCTACCCAACATAGGCTGACGCTGAAGACTCTCTCTCTTCCCTACATTAGGAGATAGAGGACAGAATCAAAAGCACCATTTCAGTAAAAGTTATTGTACAAGATGACAAGGAAGAATTAGCTAAGATGATATTTTCTTTTGTCTATATTTCCAGTTTGATCATATTTTCCTCCTGCTTGGGAAAATACTTTATTTCCTAAGTTTGTGTAGGATTATTTATAAAACAAACAAGGTACGACATGGTTACCTTTGGCAGGAGAGGGTTAGGCTAAATGGTTCCCCTGTTCTTTTAGTTCACCACGGGAGTTTTAAACGCATCTGAAAAGGAACGACAGCATTCATTCTGATATCAGGATTGTCTCCATCAGCTGACAATGCATCGGGTCATGGCCTCTGCAATTCAACTTTGGATGTAAATGTGTAGTACTAGTGCCAGTATGGGATTCAGGAGATCTGTCCTGTCCTCAGTTTCCTTCTTCACAAATACTTCATGGTAACCTCTGATAAGTCCCTTTGTGCCTTGTTCTTCTACAAAATTAGTGTGAAAGCATTTTTGCCTTATACAGATAAATACGTATAACATATTCTAGAAAGAAGAACAAGGGCCCAGCAAATCTCATAGGGAGTTCTCTCCTGGGAAGCAGAGTCACTGAAAAGGAGCTGGAGACTAATAGACCATAATCGCTACTTCTCTGACAGGGTGACTAGAATCGGGAATCTAATTTTTGATCGCCCAAGCACGTAAATATTGAGAAAGAATAGAGAAGTTTATGCTTCCTCTGTATCTGGCACTGATGCAAGGCAAATTGGAATGTCGTACATGGAGTTTGTGTCCTAAATTCGGAGAGAGTCATGAAAAATTAAAGGGATTTCATAGAATAGACATGAGATATGATTAAAGGATTAGGATACTCTCCTTCTAATGTGGGGCTCAAGGAGTTCCACCTATTTAGCTTATCAAAGAGAAAGTTAACAGGGGCCCTTTACATACCTTTCTATGTAGTAGATATCCATTTAAAAATACATGGCTTAGCTCTAGCAGACGAAGATCCAAGACCTGCAATCTTGATTTATAGTTACCCATAATTAACCATTGAGAGGGTTACCAAGAATTATGGTAACTTTTCTGTTGATATTTATATCAAGATGTGATGTTTCCCCCTTAAAATGATACTATCTAATTCAGACAGGAACTAGTTCAGGGAAATCTGCTCTCCATTATACAGGAAGTCAGACTAGAAGATCACACAGGTCACTTCAGGCTTTCTAATCTGTTAATTAAATAGTTTATATAAATTCAGTTTAATTGGTTCTGTGATTATTAATAAACAGTATTTTTAATGTTTCATGTTTGACTGCAGCCTCACCTAATCGCAAGTATTTCTTACTCTATGTGGGTGGTGGGACTTTGTCATCCTACCAGCACCTCCACCTTCATCCCTAAGGGTTGCATCATTATCTTGTTACACAACCTGCAGGGTTGATACTGTTGATATGATGCCAACCACAGAATCGTTGAGAGATGGAGTGATGGCGTTGCTGGAGATCCCAACAAAACTGCTGTAGATCCTGCACA